TGAGATAGATAGTCTCGTCCAGTTTCCCGTTCAGGAAGGCGTTCTTAACATCCATCTGATGAATGTCAAGACCGCAAGCCACACCCATAGACAGAAGCGTTCGAAGAGCTGTAGGACGACCAGTAGGAGCGTATGTTTCCGCGTAGTTCAGGCCTTCAATTTGAAAGTTACCTGCAGCACAGAGTCGAGCTTTGTATTTGGAAAGATTGCCGTTCTCGTCAAACTTCCGACGAAATATCCAAACAGTATTGAGTAGTTCAACACCTGCTGGAATGTCAACAACTTTCCAAACGCCCAGTCGTTCCATAGCTGACAACTCCGCCGAAATGGCTTCAACCCAGCTCACCGAGTCGGGGCTCTTCATTGCCTGAGAGTAAGTCTTCGGAGCTTCAGACGTTTGATCAAAAAATTGAGCACCCGCTAGAAAGCATTGCACATGAAAATCGAAATCTTCATCCACTATCGCTAGGTGTTCCCTACGCTTTGTGTTGATGATGTTAGATTGATCAATGTCTGCGCTGATGTCCTTCGGAGCTTTCTGATTGACAGGTTGTAGAACCACGTCAAATCCGGGCCTTTTTTGCGATGAGATCGACGGCCGATGGTCCTCTGAACCTGGAGTTGTATCCTCTTGAGGTGAGTTGTCCTCTTGATTGGTGAGACGTCGATGTACTTCTTCGTCCGATGATTCTGACTCGGAAACCTCAATCGGTACAGGGTCGGACGACGATGGTGGTTCTTCAGGCTCAAAGCCCTCAGAAAGAATTGGCAGGGGTGATATAAGACCAGCGGGATCGAAAGTGGAGATTCCTGGAAAACGAGTCTCATCAAAGTTGATGTCATGACTCAACTCCACACTTCCGTCCTCTTTCAGAATTTTCCAGTTATGCATTCCTAGCTGATAACCAATCATTACCCCCTTGATCGCCGTGTCAGAAAACTTAGTTGGACGTTTTTTGTCGGGAAGATTGATGTATGCTTGACACCCAAATGCTCGAAGACGAGAATTGTCGAAGGGGCGATTAAACCAGAGTTGATACGCTGTCATCCACTTTTTCTTGCGAGTAGGAGTTATATTCTCAAGAAAAACGGCAGTCTCAACCGCAAAGCCCCAAAGCGTATGCGGGAGATTGGCCTGTTTCAGAAGCGCTCTAGCCTTTTCGGTCGTTGTCCGATTCCCCCTCTCAGCAACAGGATTTTGTTGGGGAGTGTAAGGAGCAGTGATGTGAGATGTTACGCCTTTCGACATGAGAAAATCTTTGAATTCAAGTGAGTTGAACTCGCCCCCTCCATCGGTAGTTATGTTTTTGATAGGACGAGAGTGAAGAGTGGTAACTTTGTTGTAAAATTTTTCAAAGTAAGAAAAAGCTTCGGATTTCTTTTTTAAGAGATATACAAATTTGTAGGAGGAAAATTGATCCGTAATCTTAAAGTAATATTCAAAGCCTTCCGAAGTTGGAGGATTGATACGCCCACTGAGATCGAAGTGAATATATTCAAGACAGTGGGTTGATGCGGGAAGAGTCCCAGAGTAGGGTAGAAGATGAGATTTGGATAAAGAACAAGCTTGGCAATGAATTTTGAAGTCCGAGAGATTGAACATGCGTTTCAAGGAGTCGTTGCTTGGGTGCCCCGCCCTCCTATGAAGAAGCTCAATGTTAGAAATCGATTTCGATGAGAGGTTTGCCGAAGGAAAGGACTTGCCTTTGACGATTTCAAGGTCGATAGTGAACACATCTTGATCATTGAGGTTGACGTTGAACAGCGTTTCACCCTTGTTGACGAGTTTAGCAGATGTCGGACCGGTTCGAACTCGATCACAACCCCTCCGAAACAGACGTCCTTCGGAAATTAGATTTCCTACAAGTTGAGGAACGTGCAGGCATTCAAGCTTCAAAGATTGCCCAGATACGGTTTTGACGTAAACGTTTCCTATACCAGGACACATCGTTGTTTTGCCGTCAGCAAGTTCAATCTTGCATTTGGAGTTGGTGGAGTATGTGGAGAATGAGGACCGATCGGAGATCATGTGATGCGAAGCACCGCTGTCCAAGTAAGCTGTGTTGGGAGCGAGTTTGACAGAGAACGCTTTCTTGATGGTGTGCCATGCGACGCTCGACGTTGAGGATTGATCGTCTGCTGCTTCAGCTTTCTTGGCTTTGGCTTGAGACTTGGCCCGACGTTTTTGCATTTGGGCTTTTTGTTCGGGATAAACTTGAAAGCAGCGAGACTCCGGGTGATTGGCTTCCGGATTGTGAGTGCCATTGGAGCACTCAGGTTCGGGGCCCGAAGATTTTGATACTGCCTTCATCGCCGATTCTTCAGTTTTGATACGAACCGTAGGATCATCCATGCGTCGATTTTCAAGAAGGGATTGCAGTTTTTCGACGGTAAGAGGTCTACTTTGGATCAGTACCTCTCGAGTGTGAATCAGTCCCGTTGGAATTTTTTCGAGGACGTTTTCACAGAATAGATTTTCGTGGATTTCGAAGTCTGTCGGAATGCCGATTCTCAGACCCACCGCATTGAGGCGACTGATGTGATTGGTTAGATCGACTATGAATGCTTCGATGTCGCTGCCTTTGAATTTGAACGACAAGAAATCGTTGTATACCTTCGCTTGATTGGAGATAGCTTTGGATTGATAATGGCCTTCGAGTTTAAGCCACATCTCTCGCGGGTCGTCTTTGGTGTCTTTGGTCCTGAACTTTTGATAGTTCGTGATGCCCATGTGCTGCTGTAGTACACCCGAAGCCTTCATCTTCCGAGTTTTGAAAGATTTGAGCTCGGTGGCATCCGTAGGTTCATCTTCCTTTGACGAGATAAAGGAGTACAGGTCGTGTTGCTTCATGTAACCTTCTATCAACATACTCCACAAATCCCAGTTGAGATTTGAGAGAGTCGGAATAGCAGGGTTGGTGGTCTTGTCGGTCATTTTGGTGCTCTGATAAATAGGTCGATATGAGGAGGATGTTATAGCGCCTCTGGGCTCATAACCTAAAGAACTGAGGTTTACCAAACCGGTGCGTTAGAGCACGACCACGTGAGCTAACAAAGAGAGAGACACAAGCGAACCTGAGGTTTACCAAACCGGTGCGTTAGAGCACGACCACGTGAGCTAACAAAGAGAGAGACACAAGCGAACCTGTGACGAATGATTCAGGCGAGTATGAGCGAGATGATCAAAAGGCACAGTGAGAACAAACTAGAACAGTCTGATCATGAATTTCTAACCTGAGGTTTACCAAACCGGTGCGTTAGAGCACGACCACGTGAGCTAACAAAGAGAGAGACACAAGCGAACCTAAAGAGAGGAGAAGACATGGTGAGGAAGAGAAACAGACGAGAAGAAATGAATGAGAAGATGAGAAACAGAAACAGACCTGTGACGAATGATTCAGGCGAGTATGAGCGAGATGATCAAAAGGCACAGTGAGAACAAACTAGAACAGTCTGATGAAGAAAAAAGGAAAACAACATTCAAGAGAAGAAAATGACTCTTTTGTACTCGTCCACCAGATGATCTAGGTTTTGAACCTTGTCTATCTCACACGACTGCGTGTCTCACTTCGCCGCAGCGGGATGAGAATGAATCCCCGGACCATCCGTTCAACAATTCACAACAAAAAAACTCACTGATGATCATCATGACCGCCGTACCAACAAGGATATGCAGCATTATAACTACCAGGGGTAACATAGAAGAAGGCCATGAGAAACAGAATCAAAATCTAATAAGAGTGATGATCAGCTTCTTCATTAAACACTTACTTGGGTTTGTTTTTGAGAGGTGGGCTGCAAGAAGCGTTGCGGCTTGATCTGGTATTATGGATGGTATGTGTGCTGGGAGATTAGGTAAGGGTTGATGTGGTCGGGATTTGATAGAAGACAAGAAAGATGAATGGCGAGTTATCAAGGCAAAGGACACCCTACTCGATAAGGCATGTCCACTAGAGTTACCAACCAGGTTGCAGCCCTTGAGACTGCTCAGACAATTAATCAGGAACCAAGTCTTTTTTTTCTCGACTAAACACTCTCAACCTCCAACCGATTGGTCCAGGCCGCCCCGACTCGCGAGCAGTGGGACGCCCCACTTTGCCTTGTTTTTGTTTTTACCCCAAACCGCCAAACCAAATTACCATTGCTCCACTGGATGGCCCTTTTGCTTGCAGGTCAAGCTGTCAGTCAATAAGCTGCTTGATCAGAAGGCCTTTCATAAGGCGGGCACAATTTGCTGAAGGATTGATCACATCACAGGTTCCGCATCTCCACGCTCTTGTTATTCCCAGACGTCCCAACGATTTCGTTGCAAATGATAAAGTGGGCATCTGTTAAAACCAATAACCACCTTCTTCTTCGAACCCAGCCATCACAGATCTGCCATCAAATAACTTGTCTAGTTAAGTTGCAATATATGACAAAGCTGCAAGATATGGCTATAAAGGTATGCGTATGCCAACTGACAGGCTGGACTTTTTTATAGCCAAAGTGGGGGTTGCAGGCCCAGGGAGTGAATCATCAACCCAAAAACAAGTCAAGTTCACAATTTGAGTTTTGTTTATCAACTAGATTCCGCGGGCAATCATGACTCGA